CCAAGCGTGAAAACACCCAACAATGGACCCCCGACTACTCCAAAAATAGTTAATGAAGCCTACGATAAGAATTTATTTTATTGCCTTCAATCTTACGCATCGAAGAGTAATAATGAGCATTACCTGAAGTAGTCCTCCTAAAAATTGCGCTAAAAATGCCAACGCAATGGAAATAATACCGAATGTAAAAGCAAGCACTTTAGCGATGAAAGCTGATTTTGTGGGAGAAAATTCATGCCCAACACATTTTTTGTATAAAGGTTTCATGTAATCCTCCAACGTTACTGCCGCTAAAGAATTCTGCGCCGCAGATATTGTGCTGAGGCCTGCGCTAAAGATACCTGGAAATACACAGACAGTCCGAGATTAGTATTATAAATATGCATTGCACGTTTTTGTTTTAAAATTGATTTAATTATGAGAAAAAGAGTCCAAGATTAGTATTGTAAACACATTGATTCACTGATTGCTTTTATTTTAACATTACGCTTGAGAGCATATTTCAGACATTAAGAGTTTTTTTCATAATATGTAATTTCTATGAGATATTAAGCTCGAACCAGTCAATTTATGATAAAAGTATTACCTGCAACAAAGATGCCTGGTAAACCAGGTATATTGGACACTGTGTCCATAACGTACAATGGCATAAGCATATCAGGCGAAGTAATCCTTTTCTTGAGAAATGGATCACAGTTATGATATTTGCTATATATTGCCAATCCCGAAAAGCAAGTTGTAATCGAAAGAAGCGATAGAATAGGCCATGATAGCCACAAGGCTTTTTGTGAAGCTTTCATATTTCTGAAACAAAATGTATCTTAATAGAGTTTCCTCCAATATTTTAAACATAATTTAATCGGTAAATGTTATGTGAAAAGAGGAGATTATTTTATAGTATTTAATAACGTATATATATATATATTTCATAACATGAGCAAGAAAAAATTAAAATTATTTGATTAATTCGGCATCGTTTTACGTTACGATAAATAAAGTACCAATATCCAGAGAAATGACCGTCAATTCGACGGATCAATTCGACTCATTTTTCATTGGCTACTTTAATACATTTAATAATTTTTAATCTTATCCGGCGTTATTCATAAATTATTAAACTTACTTTACAGTCAACATACGCTGGATTTGTACTTGATTTACTCCGTAAAGTGATAAAAATGTACATAAACCACCTAACGTAAGCGACCACCAGGTATGTCTTACCGTTGGATCCAGCTCGATGCTATAACAAAAATAAAATATCAGTTAAAGTGTCCGAGTGTATACTAGTCGCCCAGTTCATGTAGATAAAATAAACAAGCAAGTGGAAATACCTATCAAACTCAAGCCGTTGTCCTTGCTTTGCAATTTCCCAGATTTGTCCCAATCCCCCGACACCGTTAGCTGCTGTGCCAATAATTAAGAACACGGCAGCAAACATGAGTAAACCTTGAAATACATCAGTAATCAACACAGCCTTAATGCCCCCTATTGTTGAGTAGAACGCACATACGAGGCCAATAATAACAATGCTGGCAGTCTTTGAAATTCCTGTTGTCGCCTCCAAGGCTAAAGAAGGAGCATAAAGTACCACTCCTGAGTATAAAAGCAGTTGAAAGAAGTAAACAAAACTAGCCATCATCCTAGCTCTTATTCCGAAACGTTTTTCTAAGTACTAAAAGAATATTTTTTTTAATATACGCTCCATTAAAAACTTCCAGCGTCAAAATCAAATTTCACTAGACTCACCTCGTAGGCGCTCGTCGCCTGCAACTTGAAGAATACTGGTAGGAATCCATAACATACGATCGGAGTGCCCAACAGATACGATAGATTTATTACAACAAACTGTGTCCCATATGTATAATTCTCAGCGGACACACCAAGCAGCGTAACAGCAGACATGAAAGAGACCACCAAGGCGACAGCGACAGGTATAATGCTCATTGATCGACTTGCAACGAAGTACTCCTGTGAAACACATTACTTTTCATTACAGCAAAAAAATATAAGAAAAAGAAACTTTGTTTTAATGGTGCCTAAAAAGTATAAGTTAAACTTTAAAGGTTCATCTTCCTTTATCGAGAAAGAGAGGGCATTTAGTAATAATAGCAGGGCATTTAGTAATAATACCTCCATAGTTTTTTGACGTCCTCCACTAAATCTGTAATAGACACCAATTCCAGCACTTATACATAGCATTATCGCTATAACCAGATAATCGACCCATCCTAAAGTATTTATTTCTTCCATTTTGTCTAAAGTAGTAGTCACGTCAGTAGTAGGTGTGTTGTCTAAAAGAAAGAAGATATATGTTTAAAAATAGATCGGGCAGATTTGTTGTTATACAATAATATTTAAACTAAATATTAATTTAACATATTATATTTTGCATATACTGCGTACAAAAGAAGGAAAGGGTAATATAACAGAAATAACGAGATATCTTTAATTCAGGCACTTGTTGATTCGCTTTGTTCATTATAATTTTAATAAATCAATCATATTCGTGTATTGACATTGGAATAATAGCACTAATAGCAGTTGATTTTGTTCGAATTATGCAAATGAATACATTTTTATATAACAAAAAATTTAAATCTCTTAATTTTAAAACAATAACGATAGTAAAGGGTATATAAGAGTTAATTTAAACAATTATGAGTGTAAAAAGTCAAGACATAAAAATATATTACATTATATATATTCGAAAATACACAATAATTAGTCATTACATGTTTCATTACATGCTTCCTGATTGAGCTATCTTCAGATAATCAAATAAAATGCAATAAAGTTATTACCTAAGAAGAGCATATAATAATGCAAATGAAAAGCAATATACGTGAATTGGATGACCAGACGAATGGTCTTCGTCTAGATGTGGCTTCGCAAAGACTCGGCAATTGCTCGCATAAGGACACCCGATTGCCAGGAATTTCTCGTGGTTCTGGTGAATACAACAATAAGTTAAAAACTAATTAGAGATAAAATAAATAAATAAAATATGACAATGAAATCAAGCAAAAAACGTCGACTCGATAAAACACTCACCTAAAATATCACTCACATTTTCGATTATTAAGGGAGGAATCATCGTCAAATACATTTTCATTTATCACAAAGCTATATTTAAATGCAATTTGCACTTATGCTCTTTTATTGTCTTACAATCTAGTAGACCTTGAAATAAGCTAGCAGCACGGAATTAACCTTATCAGTTAACAGATTTTCAACTAACAGAGTGTAAGAGACAATGCCTATTTATCTTGTTCAATTATTGATTTCGTCATCAGCTCATGCAAGTTCCTTCCTTATAATGCATTCCGTACACTTTTTCTTCGTCTTTGAGATTTTTATCGCACATAATGGGACGTGTCAAGCAACAAGTAAAAATAGTGAAAATAAATATTAATATCAGCTCCGCATTCCGCGCATGCTGATATCACACCTCATGCTCATCTCTCTCCTACTCCGAACTCGTGCGGACAGCGGCGATGCGGTCGCGTGAAATTTTATGACATAAAACATTGGTAAAACGCGAACTTTTCACGTCCCCGGTTGCGTTGCATGTTAATTCGGCTAGCCGTTCGGATGCACCGAATGATTACGTAAAATTGTCAATGACCTAGCGCGAAGTGTCGAGATGCGATACGGCGTGACGCATGACGTTCGTCGTACGTGCATATGCACGCACACAAACACACGCACACACACACACACACACACACACACACACACACATGCGTGAGTGCGCCGCCGCAATGCGTGTATGATGTGTGATATATATATATATATATATAAATTTATATATATGTATGTATACTTATGTATGTGTAGCAACCGCTCAGAACATTTTAAGTGTAACATTCTCTTTAATATCTAAAGCTGCTTCAATGACTTGCCTGCTTTAATGAGGATCAAAGTCCGGAGTCCGTCCTGTCCGTCTGCGACAATTCTGTCCGACCGTTGCTAGTGCCGTTGAACAAATACGCTGCGAGCGGTGAGACTCAAGGAAGACCTTCTCTTTTCTTAACAACCTGACGAATCGCGCATACTCCATGGTGAGCCGGCCCGTTTTTGTCCTATAATCATGTCAGTAAAACCTGAATACCTGAAATTTCTCTTCTATTCAGGGGATCCTATTACACTAGGGGTCAGCAACAATGTTCCGCACATACCTTACATGCCTTCGAAGAGATGCCTCTGTTAATTTCTTCGATTTCGACTGAAGATATAATTTCGATTGAAGATATACTTTTAATTATTATACCGGAATTCAATATTAGAAATTATCACGTGTCGTTTTAGTGCTCCAGAAAATTGCCGCGTGTTTTGTTCGAATACTGATCAAATTTCGCGTTTATACAGATATATCAATAAAATACAGAGTCGTCATTAAGTATTTTAAAAGATTTTAAAGGATATATAATTTTTCGTATTAATTTAAGACGAAAACTTTATATATTCGAAACGACGATATAGTTTCAGAGTGACAAAGTTGAATAAAAAATTTGACTATTTTACTTTTTTGAAAGAAATTTATTGCTGTAAACTGCATTTACATACGCTTTTTAATTCAATCTCATGAAACTTTAATTTGTAAAGTTCGCAAAAAATTTCAGATTTGACGGATCTCCATTTGTGTCAGTTAATTCCGTAAAAAATCAATCAGATCGTTATTTAAATTACAGATCTGAAAATTGAAGGTTTCAAGCTTTAAAATATTTTTTTAGTTTAATATTAAACAAAGTATTTTTTAATATCACAATGTGAATAGACAATAACTAGGAAATGAAAGCTTTAATGTCAAGTTTAAATAATTCGTTTAAATAATTCGGTGGATTTATGTATCATATTTAATCTTACAAATTACGCGCTGAATTTAATTTTCAATTTTGAAACATGATTCTAACAGAACTAGAATAATAATATCAAACAAATTAAATTGATTATTAAATTAAACGATGATAATGTTAATAATCCTGGGCAATTTTTGTGACCATCAAAAGGATATGGAGAGTACGGAGGTAATTGAAGAACGGTGACATTATCGACAATTGATATAAATTTGCGATTATCATAACATAAAATAATATTTGGATAATACATTATCAAATTCATAATTTTTTATTATATAATACTGCATAAATAAGTATACATACTTGTAATGCTGTAATATCTTACATATTGCCTCAAAATTACAACTTTTTTTCTCTACAGTAATTATCTCTATTGATAATCAAACTTGGGTGATAACATTAAATACTCGAAGTTTTAAATAAATTAAAATGTAGTATTGATGAGAGTTTTAAAAATATATACATGTCTATGAAACTAATAAATCATAAAATTAGTGATATATTATTAGTTTCTTACTCTTAATTACTTAAATTTAAATAATTACGCGAACTTTATTTTATGTACACCCAATATGCATCTATACGGTGTGTCCAGACGAATACGCGGCATCGGCAATGGACTGCATCATTCGATTATAGTCGAATAACATCCAAAAGTATACCGACACTGACATTAAAATATGCAGTCGATACGTCCCAGCCGAAATCGCTATTACCGACGAAATACTATTAAAAACCATTGATCTATTATGGAAGTTCGCATACTTTTATAGCATAATTTTCGTATAATTTTACAGAAATGTAAAATTTCAAATAGGGCAATCTAATAATTTGAAATAGCTTTGAAAAAGAAAAAATTGATAAAAGCATTAGAAACACATAAATTGATAAAACACTAATTTTATTGCATTATCATAATTTATTTCATATATATAAACATTTGATACAGTTTTTAAATTTTATTTGTAGAACTTATTATTAGCAATGGTGTTAATAATAGCTAGATCCTATAGGATATAATATATCAGAGAAAAATGGATGGAGTGATCAAGATTCAAAATTCGGTTTGGCATGGTACTGTTACTCGACTTCGATACATTCAAACATATAAAATAAAACACTGTTTGTAAAAATTATTAAATAAATAAATTCTTATGCTGATGAGTCCAAAACAATTTATTTGATATTTATATATATTTCTCCGTTCGAGAGATTATGTTTTTTATTCAAATATGCATATATATTAAATTTTCATTTATTTCATTCATTTATGCAAGTAACAACGAAAATATTTTTATTTAGTTTCGTAACAAAGCATTTAGATAAAAGTAAATAATTTTCAATATTCTCTTGAAATATTTAATATAAAAACGTGAAGATTTCTAGGTTAAATGACTTGACATGACAAATTGGTCACCAAGAACGTCATTAAATTTTTTTGTAAAATTATAATTCGATATTAAATAGAGCTACATTTTTCCTTAGAATAATAATAATAATTTCCTTTAGAATAATAATTTTCCTGCAAGATAAAAAAGAAAACTATACTCTCGAACGACGATTTATAATTTTTTTATGTGACGCTTCATATTTAAAAGGAATAACCTTAATTTTTTTACTTATTTCTCTCACGCAGAATCCGTTCAAAATTTTCGAAGAAGCGAGCTTCTCTGAGCTTCTTCGGCGAGATTACTTGATTCCGAAACAGCGTAATTTCTGCTATGCAGCACGCTGAATCTAATCGAGTTTTAATTGCATCTTACTCCTGCGAGTAAATGGTTGGAAAATAAGGTACGTGTTCTCGGTCTATATGAATAGTTGATTGAGAATCTGTATTGACTATGATCTTAATTTATGCTCGTTATATTATTAAGATACCTTACTTCAAATATACAATGAATATACATTAATGCTTAGATCGTCAAAATATCCTCGCGATTATAACTCAATGTTTGTAGAGGCGACTGTCAATGCATATCTCGCGGAAATATATCATATTATCTCCTTTCTTATAGTTACATTTATACGTTAATGCACCAAGAAGAACTTATAATCAATAAGATTGTCGGTTAAATCAGCTTCTCGACGAGAATATTATCACAATTTAAGCATACATATTATTATATATCATTACTAATTTGCTTTTTTAATAAATGGACTAGACTCGATTACTTATAATAATAATAATAATAATAGTAGCTTCTTAACGTTTAAGGATATTGCAGAGAAACGAGAAATATTTTCCGCAAGCTATAACAGTATAAGTCAGACATATATAAATATACACACAAGATTTTGAATCGAAACAGATTACTATCGGCGTATCTCCCTGTTATCTTTTACGTTTTCTATTTCTTCTTTTGTTATCAACATATATCTAACATCAAACGTATTCTATAATCATTAATCAGTTATGCATCTCTTTTAAAAATATTTGAGAAATTGTGACTTGAAAATTATAACATACTTCAGAGGAATATACAGGTACATGAAGAAGACATTGGGAAGACTTTAACACGTTAAAATCAAATTAAGATTGGTGATTGATAAGCAGATACTTTACTATAAGCAAATGTTTTAAAAGAATCTAGAATTTTCGCGATACTGTTGATTTATAAATATTTCACGCATGATTATATTTTATATTTGTTAGACAAGGAGGATATATCTGATAGTAATAAGTTCCGATGTCATCTTGAGCTGCATTTAATTACAAAGTCAATCAAAGTAGAGATTCAGATAATCGTAGATCAGGATGCAAATAACGCATGTCAGACAAGCCTAACTTTGATAAATGCTGCAAGAATGCAACAAATATCCGAGACATTTTGTTTTCCTTCAGTTATGAAAATAAAGAATGTATATAGTTTATGCACTTTTCTATGTGTTTCTCTTCAATACATTTTATTCGTTAATTATCATATGCGATTGGTGCATTGCTAACAATACTAACTGACAGAAAGGCATACAACTTACTCATTGAATAACTTTTCTAATCTTTGCATCCGATGCTTCGATTATGCTAAAATTGTAGACACTGTATATCTCGTATGTATGAACATATAAAATGTATGACGCGTTAAGAATGAAACGCGTAAGAAACGGAATTCGTTTATTATCCTTAACGGGAGCGTTGTTTTTGTACAACGTACCTGATACGTCTTACATATTATAGTTAATAAATAATGCGATGATTTGAAAAGTATGGAAGAGAATATCTAAATATATACCGCTCTCTTTATCTTTACTTTTTATCACTTTGATATGCAGTTGCGGATATGGAAAGTTATGCTCTTTTAAAAGCGCGTGGAAACAACAGCTCTTTTAATGTTATCTTAAAATAGCTTTTTTTGGTGCTCATATATTATATTCTTATTCGCGCGGATCTTCTTTGAAAGTTTATTCTTTGATGAGAGATGTTTTTGACTTTGCAAGTAAGAAAGAGAGAAAGAGAGAATGCGCTTAAAATTATTGGAAGGCCCACCTAGCGTTGCTAAACACGAATTACACGTATACATAAATAATGTGTGTATAAATTAATTAAGTACAAAAATTACAAACTTATTAACAAAATATTGGCAAGACGAGTTTAGCCGAATTAACGGACTGAATATCGCATCATTTTCCGTCCCTTTATCTGATCATCTAACAAGAATCTCAACATTCGAAAGAGAATAACTTAAAAGGAGTTTAACAAAGCTTTATATCGATTCCCGTTACAATAGTCTATTAATCAAAGCGTAAAATTATATCAAGAAAAATTCATAAAAGACTATAATTTTATTCTTATATTTTTAAAATAAGATATTCATCG